TAACAATGCAACATTATTTATTTGTGCATTTATGTATTTCTGCATCCCTCTCAGTATTTTACGTGCTCGCTATCTTGTATTTACAGTCTCTCTCTCTTGTCGTCATACTTGCTCTCTCTCTCCTCTGCTCTCAACAACCTGTCCTGTAATGCCACCCCTGGGGCAGTTTTAAATTTATTGCTTTTGGCTGAGGGCCCTCGCAGCATAAATAAGCTGAGAGAAACAATGGACTGACTGAATGAGCATCATACCAGAATTGTTATATACTAGAAGGGACAGGAAGACATGCACTTCACTTTCTATGCTATTACAGAGAAAGTTCTATAATCGTTATTCTCAGTTTCTATTCTTCACATTTCCATCCCTATTCGCTTTTCTCATTTCCTTACTTTCCTTCCTTGTTACTTATACCCCTCTCACACTAAAGCAACGTCATTGTTATGAATGGATCAACAATGGTATCTCGACCCTTCTGGCAAAACCCTTGGAAAAATAAACTCTTTTTTAGATACTACCAGGGGCAAGTCTTGTTTCTGTTTTTGCTTGGGAGCTACGTGGCTATGTGTGTGTGGTTGTAAAAAGGAGACATCTCTGTTAGCATCCCAGGTAGCCTCTACCAGTGACCTATGACTTTCCCTGGAATGCTACGGGGTATGTCAACTTCCTCTCAAGGCAGACGTGCACACCCAAGCACATAATACAATGCACACACAAACACACCTCAATCCGGGTTGAACAGTTTGCACTTGACAGCAAAATCAATTTGTTTTTTGGTTGTCGGGTGAGCTCCGATATACGAGTTATTCAAACACATTTGTTGTTGTTCTTGTCAAAATGATCTCTTTAAACTAAAATTGCCATCTTTCAGTGATAGACTTCACTTTTTAGCCTTGCCTTCCGAAATTAGCTCAACTAATCTGATAACACCACCCGCTCCATCATCCCCAACTGTCTCAAGGATATAATAACATGCATGTTGTCTGACATTCAACTGTCTGAAGTCCTCATCATTGGTCCTATAATCCCTCAACAAGCAGATGCAAAGCTTCTCCTTCTGTGTTGACAGCTCCAGTCATTTTCCTCCTGCATTTTGATTCGGTTCTTTTCTTCAAGCCTGACATGAATCACATTGTCATAACAGTTTGTTTTTTTTATCGAAAAAAACGTCTACATCCATCCCTTTCCTTTTCTGCTCCCACAACTTTCATCTACTCATTAATCTCTTCCACAGCCAATCAAATATGTGCAACATACATTGATGGTAGATTACTTTGTAGCGTTAATGGGGTAATTGTTAGTGTTGAGCTTGTGATTGTCAAGATGGAGGATAAAATGATTGTGGCTGTGATAATTTTCTACTGTTACAAAGTCATGACATAGTGTTATTAACTGCTGTGCGGTATTTTGTGTGATTTTTATATCCTCATCTGTAACTGTAGCAACACAGTCACACCAATTAAATTATTTGAATACAACTTAGGACTAAAGGAATACTATCTTTATACTGTAGTCTCTGCTGTTTGCACTCGTCCTGCAAACGTACAAATATAAACAAAACCCACGGACAAAATCTCTTCCTTTTTTCTATCTGCTCTGAGCCTCCCTCCCACTTACACAATCAACCCCCCTCGCCATCCTTGTCACGTCCACAGGGCTCGCGCTGCCTGCCGCGAGGTGAGAGGTCCTCTGGCTGGGGACCAGGACAGCACACGCCTCTCTTTGATCTACCCCGCACTGGCTGCTACCTGCAGATAGCATATTCACACACACACAGGGGCTCTCTCCCTTTCAGCCACAAAGACAGTTCTACATCTCTTGCTTCCTCCCTCTCCTTTTTTTGTCGGATGCATTCTAAACTTTGTTCACAGTTGTGGGTCCTATGATGCACTGCTGATGTAGATTTGAACAGTTCAAAAGAGCAATTTTTTAATTAAATTTTTTGCCTTAATGTAATCTGAATTAGTGGTGGAAAAATACTACAACTGTAAGGGTTTTGGTAAAAATATGTATCGTTCGACCCTTTTTTCCTTTTTGTGTGTGCGTGTGTGTTTGCTCACTGTCATCTGGTTACCATTTGAAGGCAGAATTACAGCTAATGATATCCTAGAGGAAAACTACAGTAGCTAAACATGCAACAGTTCCTCCTTTTCTTTTTCTTTCTCCACCTACTTTTTCTCCCTGTCAGACCGTTCCAGAGACAAGTAGTCAAAGCCTGGAAAAAAAAGCTGAATTTCCTTGATATTAATACTTTTGGGTTTATACGTGAAGTCTTTTAAATTGCTCTGGTCAGAGTAAAACTTTGTACTAACAGACAGTTTGGATGTGTTTGTCTGCCTTTTTTGGATGTTACTGTGCCACATGAATACAGTAACCCCCCCACTCTCTCACACACACACACCCACCCACACACACACACACACACACACACACACTTTCTGCCTCTCGCATCTGGATTCAATCAGAACCCAACGATCCCCCAGCAGCCTCTCTAAGAGAGAAGTAGGTTAGAGCAGCAGTGTCAAATATCAAGCTCTCTCTCTCAAACTCATTTGCATATACAGTATGTGTTTCTGGAAAGTCTGAATGTACAGTGTGTTTGTGCAAGAGAAAAAATCTGAGTAATCTATGGAGAGAATTTTGACTCGTGTGTGTGTTTGCATTCATGCAAAACGGTGACGATGCTGTGCAGGTATGGTGTCTATACAGAATACTGGACAGTATGAATGCTGTTCTTGTGGATTAGTAAAAGATGACCCTAAGCCATTACAGCACTACAGAACAGTTTACAGCGATTTCCCATAACTCTCATTTTCTTCTTTTTTTTTCTTTCTTATATTTAACTGTAAGCCTCAGTGGGAAAATAAACCTGACTTTTTCTTGTAAGTGTACAAAATCCACCACAAGCTCTTGTTACTTCTCTACCAATAGAAACCAAAAACGCACACGAAAAAACAAAAGCACCGTCTAATTGAAGAACAAACAAGAAAGAGAGGTGTAGGGGTATAAAAAGATTGGAATAATCTGAACCGGCATCACGACTGCTTCTTGATTCAGTAAAGAGTATTATACAATTATGGCATTATATGGTGATAAATGAGAGATGAGAGAGAAGATGAGATCGAACTCTTTGGTTCCTGTTTTTTGCTTTATCAAGAAAACAACAAAAAAAAGGGAAGAAGTGAATTAAAGTGTCCAAAGAGCAAACAGTGCAAAGAGCCCCGCCTCCCTCTCACAGACTGTGGTCACCTTCTTGCACAATGCATTTGGTTAAGGGTTTGGGGAAATTTGGGGCTTTTTGTTTTGCATCAGCCTGTAACTATTTGCTGTACAGCACGTTCATCCCTGATCTCCGACTGACATTGACTTAAGTGGACTTTGCTGATGGAGCAGGTAGACGCTTATGCTATACACAGTATCTGCTTGTAGCATGTCTTGGACTCCAGTTAGACAACACATTTATACACCATTGTATTCTGTACTCAACAGTGGTGGACCTAGGCCACTTATAACCATGGTAACAGCAGCACATAGTGAGGCTGAGTGAAGGGGGTGTGTGCGGTTTGATTGACAGGGCTTATGTTTAATGGATGAAAGATGGTATCATTTCCTTTTCACGGGAAGGGATCTATATAAATAGGGAATAATACTCAACAAGTTGTACATTGGATGATGATATAACACGGCATCAAGCCAACAAAATTCCATATTTAATCAAATTAAAAATATGTTGTTTATTTACCTGAATAACTAATTTGATCATATTCTTTAATATATTCTTTTAATATCATTAAATATGGCTCCTGTACTTAAGAACTACTGTAACTTAGGTTGCTAGGCAACATCGTTTTAAACAGGAAGGAGTATGTTTTACAAGGCTGTGCCAGAAGTTCAAATTCATGTTTAAATCAGGAGAAATAGAAATTTTACTGATTCATGGAAGTCATGAACTTTCTTAGCCAGCCTCTTGTCATGCAAAACAAAAGCAAAAAGGGACCAACATTCACTGGTTCCAGCTTCTCAAATGTGAGACTTTGCTGCTTTTTATATCATTGTAAACTGAATATCTTTGGGGTTTCAACAGTTGGTCGAATAAAACAAAACATCTAAAGATGTCTGGGAAATTATGATGGGCATTTTTTAGTAGTTTCTGACATTTTACAGACTAAATGATTAATCAATGAAACGAATCAACAGATAATGTAATAATCATTAGTTGCAACCTTACTTTCTATCTCCGTCCCTCTTTTCCTCTCAGATTCTTATATGCTCGTTGTGTGTTATTGTCGTCCTGCTACACTGTGATTGGCACGGCTGTTTCGGAGCTATGAGACCAGAGATGCAACTGGCTGAGAGTGTACTTATTAATCACCATGCCCTCAGATCTATATTACACTTCACCCAGCCCTTTTGCACTTTACACTGCGGCACCTACATGAACAAAAATAGTACATGTGCTTAGAGACACCCGCACAGTCCGTGTGCCACTTTGCACTTGTTGTTTCACTTGCATGATCATGCCCTGAATTCTGAGTATGTACATTTATACACTATAAAGTGTTGTTTATTAAAGGTTAATCCATACCTGCCAGCCTATCAAAATTTAGAATTGTCAGTGGCTATGGTAATAGTGCAGTCATCCACTGGCATCTGTTAGACATGAAGATGTATTCAAACATTCTGTTATACAGGGGGCTTTAAGTACATTTCTTCTTGTACACTATGCAGCCTGCCAGTTCAGCAGCAGCACAGTGAGGAGGGAAAACATTCATAGGAATGAAGCAGATATCTTTGGCTAAATTAAATCCATGGCGATATAAACAGTAATTCCTCTGCTGATTTTTTTTTCATAAAGGAGAAGGCTAAAATGTGTCTGTTTTAGTAGAAAAGCAAGCACTTTATGTACCTTTTACTTGTATAGTGGTGACGAATTCTATAGATACTTTCCACAGTGATCTATGTTGCTAGCGACCATCTCTTACTCTTTGATTTGTCTCCAACAGGTCTTCCCACCCCTTCCTAACGAGGCTGAAATCGCACACACCAAAAAGCTCTTCCGACGCAGGAGGAATGACCGACGGTAATAATGCATGCAATCTTGCACACAGGCACACACAACACACATCTCTACCTCAGTGAGAGGGAGTGTTTTCTTCTGTTGATGTCAGATGTCAGTGCACAGCCAGTCCTATAGCCTTAACATCTCTCCCCAGCCAAAGCAATGTCAAGATAGGAATGCAGGCTCCACACTTCACTGCAGACAGGAAAGAGAAAAAACACTGAGGAGACATTCAAGGTTTTTTCACGTTTAATAGGTCACTCAACAAAATTTAAGCCAGTTATTCACTCACCCGTGTTTGCATACAAAACTGGAGCTGTCTTTTTTTTTTTTTTTTCTGATTATGGATTTACTTGTCATGCTTTGCAACATTTAACCTATGGTCCTGTCCCAAATCTCCCAACTCTGCACTAAATTTTATACTGGCACATCTGCTCCAATTGTACACCCAAGTCTGACTTCATTGAAACCAGGTCCTTAAGAGAAAAAAAAAAAAAAAAACATCTCTCTCTCGTTCTCTCGCTCCCTGCCCTGATGTCACTGGAAAACTGCTCTTCAGTTGCTAAGAGACAGGCAAAGAGAAAATATTTGGGTTGCATTTGTAGTTGAAAAGAGGAAAATTTAGCTATACCAAATGGACAAAAGCACTTTCATCCTTGTTTTTAAGTACAGAGAACAATTGGTTCTGTCCAGAGCTATGGTGTTTATGTGTGATGGGCGCAGTGTAGGCCTGGCAAAAAGAAAAGAACAAAAATATAAACTTGGATCAACATCAGTATGCTTAGGTTTCAGTCTATTTGTTTTGTGAACTGGAAATATTAACAAGAGACCATCTTGTTTTTTTTGTATGCTTCCAAGCACATGTTGTCAGTTTGTATTTAAGTTTTATATATGTGTGTGTACGTCTGGTGTATGCATATGTCTGTGTGTAGAGCCGTAAGTTGAGTGTAGCCAAAATGTCTGATGCCACTACCAAGATCCGCTTGTTTTTTTTAATGAATTCTTATGAAGTGAAACTTTGACTCAGTCAACAGTCAGACAGAGTGGTGGAAATATTCACATTCACATTCTTTATTTACGTCAGAGCTAGTGACTTGCACAGGATCAGCTACACATCGACCAAATATTTTGACCATTCTGTGTTACAGAGGCATTGCTTGCATCAAAGCATACCAGGATAACTTGAAGTCCAAGGACAAGTAATGTTAGGAAAAAGTACTGTCTTGCATGACTTTCTCTTCAGACACCTCATGCCAATCCTTTTTGTATCATTGGGAATGATAGAAAAAGAAAAATCGGAAACATTACAGCATTACAAGACACCGCACAAGATGCTCAGGCAGTGCGGGAAAATACTAATTCCAAAATACTGCAAAAGGAATAATGATAGAAAGAGTTTAACCTGTGATATCAGTAGACGAAAAATGGTCTGCTCAATGGTCCTCGACTTTTGAACACATTTTCAATGTATTTACCAATCTTTTCCTGTAAACTTGCTTCAGTGTTGAGTGCATGCTGTCGAATGTAATGTGAACCCAACATTAGCATTGAGTTAGCATTCATCTCTTTGAGAGAGCCATTGCACAGGTTGCCCAAATATATTTGCACTGCAGAGATGGAGAAAATAAGGGTGGGGATGAAAAATATCAAAGGAGAGATGAGGTAGAGGATAAGAAGGAAAGAGAAATGAAGTGCCTGTTCTCACAATGCATGTCAACAACTTGCTGAATCATTCATCAGAGAGATTTCTGCAGGAATCTGGGATTTCTTTTTTTTTTTTTTTTTTTTTTTTTTACAATATGCAACAATTACAAAGAGAGACAGAAGTGAGTAGAGTAGAATACAACTTAATTGTTCATAAAAGGTGAACAGAATTTGGCTCTGGTCCATCTGGCAGGTCATTTACACAGTGAATAGTGACAGAATACAATATGCACAGTATAATAAAAACACGATTGGGGAAAAAAAATATTTCTTTCAAGAAGTCTTTCAGAATTGAGCTGCCCATTGCCAGTGGGATAAATGACTTCTTATTATATTCTTTGTTGCCAGAGCCATCCTGTAGCGCAATACCAGCATTTAGCTTTAAAAACAAGGTATGGTAGAATGTCATAATAATTGGTAGTTAGGAAGGCTTTTATGCAAGTTTGAAAGGTTTATCACAACTATCCAACGTGGCCAACTGACCCTGCAGAGTATAAAAGACTTAGTATAAAAGACTTGGTATCAAAGTGTGGAAACGGGTTAATGAAGTCGAGTTGGCAGTTGGCACACAAAATGGCTTCCTCAGCTTTCATTACTCCACACTGTCCTTTATGAAGCTTAGCATGTTTGCTCATCAAATACATTAACTGCATTTGTCTGACTACACAACATGCAAATCCGTTCGATATGTCAATAAATATTAATTGTAATGAGAAACCACAGAGATAATGTTATATTTGTGTTATATTTTGTGGTGTGTTGTATGTGATGTATCCACACAGCTGGGTGAAGAAAATTCTTCAAAGTAAAGCTGTTGGAAGCCGATGATGAAATATGGAGATAAATATTGATCATATGACTATAATGTATGTGCAAAGCTTGAGTGTTGTATTGAATAAAGCACGAGAGAGAGAGACAGAGTGAGACTGAGAGATTGAGTAAAGGAAAAGTGTAGGCTGGCTGTGGCAGGAAGAAAAAGAAAGGGGAGGTAGTGCATGTGTTTCTACTTTAGTATGCACGTCAAGCAGGGCTGAAATTAGTTGTGATTTACTGGAATGTGCTGCTTACCGCTCTCCACTCCAAACAGAAAAGGGGCAAAGAAGGCGCTAATACGCACTGAAGATCTGTTCATTATTGAGGAGCTTTTACACATCTAGACTTTATTCTCTCTGACTTGCAATTGAGGAAATATAATTTTAACATTTAGCCTACAGTTTCCACATATTGTTGTTACAAAGTGAAACGATAACATACAAGTACTTAAATATAATTTGAGCCCCCAATAGCGTCTGCTGTTTGTATGAGTATATTTATGCACTGTGTAAAAGTACACAGCAGGTCTGCTTGTTTAACTGCACCTACGATAAACCGCCTGCCTTTCTGCTTATATCTTCCAGCCATGATGACTCAAAGTTATTGACCGTAATCTCCAGTTTATGCATGCATGTATTCACACACATTCAGTTTGGTCCTGAGTTTTTAATCTTAAAACTTGCAAGAAAACAACAACAACAACAAACAGTGTAAAGAGTAATGTAAATGTGCAGTCAGGCAGTCAAAACTTCCAGTCTTCCCACAGTCCATTAAACCAGTGTGTTGTGGCGCGTGTGAAGCTCTGGCTGTGTTATTGACTGTCTATCCTGCAGGCTTCTCTTCCCCGGGGCCAATCGATTTGCTAGTCTGGGTCAACCAATGGTCCAATGGGTCCACGAGTTCTCCATCCACGTACACGTACATCCAGAGCAGCAGCAATGATCGATCACCAATATCCTACCTCCTCCCATGATCATATCTGAAAATTCATTTCACCTTTTTAGTTACCACTTCCTGTTGTTCTGTGCATGTTTGAATGACGTAGTTATCAACCTGTAGTTTTTTTGTTTGTTTCCCTCTTTGCTTCCCCGCTTTTTCCCCCACTTTATTTTCTACAATCTCCCGCCTCCTCCTTCATTGTCTCTACAAAAATTACCTGCCATTTCCCTAAAAAAAATTTCGGCCACTTAACTCCACCCTTCATCTATTCTTCGTCTCTCCATCCTTCCATTCACCTGCATTGTTGCATACCCTCCTCTCCTGCTTGTAGAGCGATTGATCAGTTCACCCGAGACCAGTTAACCATACTTCTGCCTACTGGCCCTGAGGGAAAACGACAAGTCTCAGCCAGGTTAGTGACAACATAAGCCAGATCCTGAGCAGAGAATGGGACCTGAATACATTTTCGACATTTGACACAGTGATTTATTTGATTTATTCTACTCTGCAAAGCCTCCAAAGGTCAGCCGATAATTGGTGAGACGAGGATAAAGTGCTTCTCTTGCTTTTTGTTTTTCATTAAATGGTTGAAGAGAATGCTGAAAATAAGATGTAGGTAGAATGGACCCAGCCAGACAACATCAAAGTTTAATTTAATTCTGATTGTTACCATAATGTTACCAGGCTCCTCACCTCAACCAAAAAAAAAAACCAAACCCCACCAGTTTCTCATTTGGTTAGATGATTGAACGTGCCAGAGACGATGATCTCCCTGGATAGTCAATCCAAGCAACACTCGAGCTACTGCAGAGCTTGCAGTCATTAAATATGATTAACATTTTATTACTGTCTCACTTTCACCTCTCCACATCACCAGTAGATCAGGAGAAGGGCTTATTAGAGCTGAGCCTAAACTAACAGCTAGTGTAGAGATCAAATTAATCATCAGATGAGCGAATGTGTATGTTTGAGAGAGAGACTCGGTGTGTCTCTGAGCAGTCTACGGCTTTGCAGAAGATTATGAAACCTCACCCTCTGCAGTCATTTTAAATGAGATCTCACAATTTCTGTCAGTCAATGTTAGGCTGCTATACTTTATTTTATGATTATGTAAAACATTGGTTGAAAAAAATAAGCAGCTGTGTAGTAATTAAAAGTTTGCTGTAGAAAATTAAAAAACAGTCATTGAAGTGTGGTGCCAATTGCCTGACAAGAGGGTGTTCCCTTATCATTGTGTACTATAGAAGAGCTGAGCTGAACCATGTGATTAAAAAATTGTGTCAAGCTGATGAACAACTGACTTAAAAAGACGCTGAGAAAACTTGCACAGAGTTGGAGGTCGGCTGGTAAAAGCAGAGAGCCAGAAGATGAACTGTCTCTCAACCTCCCAGAGAGAGTGGAGTGGAGGGGCCAGGCGACACATAAACCAAATGAACATGTGCAAAAAAGACTATAAATATGCCCGGTAGACACATTCACTTTCGTGTGCTTCTGCCAGCGTGACACACACACACACACACACACACAAACACACACACACACACACACACACACATATATGGATGGATGACAATTTCAAGAAAATCCAGCTAGGTCTTCTTCAAGTAACTGCTGATTATTTTCTCAGTTGATCATTTAGTCTATGAAATGAAAAAATGCGCATCACAACATCTCAGAGCCCAATCTGACATCTTCAAATGGCTTCTTTTGCACGACAAACTGTAAAAATTCCCTAAATATTCAGAGAATAACAGTAAATCCTCACATTGAATAACCTTGATGGTCAATGGTTGGCATTCTCATTTGAAAAATTATATAATTAATTAATTAAGAAAAAATATATCAACATTTAACCAACATCATTTTTAGTTGACACAGAAGCTGCAGTAGCAGTTGCCAGTGTTGTTAACTTACCTTTTCTGCAATGATCAAAGAAACAGAGTTAGTTATTTTCATTAATAATTAATCTGCCAATTGCTTTCAGAGAAAATCTATACGACAAAGTCAAGCAGCATCTATCACATGTTAAAACCTGGAACCATCATGTTTGGAATTTTTGTTGAAAAAAAATACTAAAAAGATTATTCCATTATCAAAATAGCTGCATGTTAATTTTCTGTTGATTGAATAAACAATTGATCAACTAATAGTTGCTCTAGAAATATGTAAATTATATATGTCGTCTTGTATGACAATTGTACAGCTGCATCCAGCTCAAGCATGCTTGTCTGCATTTTTCTGTCTGTATTATCATGAATTTAGCTAGGTAGCTAACTAGCAACTTAGGAAAATGATGTCCCCATTCTAGATTCTATCTACTAAGATCTATTTGGTCGACTGTTACTCCAACTGGTGGAAACAGCCATCAGTGCACACAACACCAGACCGTATTTGAATTGCTGAAGAAATCAGAGATCTGAGTGGTGATTCAGAGGTCTGGAACCCGCCTACTGTCTAACACAGTCGGCCAAATAGGTGTTCTCTTAGGTTGTTATCTGACACTCGGAACACATTGTCATCTAGAGGAGATCACTTCACCATCTCTGTAGTGGTTTGAGGTTGACCCAGACCATATCAAGAATTGTAATGTTCTCCTTCTCATTTTTTTTATTACGTTTTTTTTCCTTTAACTTGTTACCCATCTGTATGTACAAGTGTTGGAGACCATAACATTTACAATATCAAGAAATTTAATACAACAATATCCCAACTATGGCCTCAAACTCACTTTTTTATATGCTCCTATTAATTAGAATCCATGGTCCCTACCATGTATCATCAGAGTCATAGTCCAACCATATTTCTCCAAAAATGTGTTTAACCTGCACGTACGAATATATTCGATTTCTTTTAAGCTCATAGAACATTTCCAAGGTTCTTATATTTATTAAGGGTGGAATGAAAATTTTTACAAAGGAGATTAACTTTTGAGTGTGATAGTGCCACACAGGTCTCTTTCACAAGGTAAAACAGTTTGTGTTTTATTAATGCAGCCTCAGAAATGTCTGGCTTGCAAATTAATTTTAACTAAACTAACTAAAAGTGCAAGGAAAAGCTTTTGTGAGGGATGACGAAAACCCACATTGCAGTCTTGGCATTGACAAACTCAGTGAATTGACTTTCTTTGCTCATCAGCCCAGCCTCCACAAAGTTTAGACAGCCCTGTGGATGTCACAGGTTTCGCTTTTGTGTATTTTTTTTTGTGATCTCTTTATTAAATAAACTGTCTATAATATTCAAAGAGGAACAAAAGCTGCAAGGAACTCTGGAGCATTTTTTAATGTTTTAACTTACAAAGACCCGCACTGCATTGTCACTGAGTGCATATGTACACAGAACTAACTTATTTTCTTTCATTACTCAATAGCACTGTTTATAGCTGTCTCGGGCAAACCGTGCATTTACAGACATACCTAATCATTATTGAGGCTACATGCTATGCTAATACGAATATCGCTTAATACTATGCTTTTACGTTTCACTAAACAGTCAAAGTTTGTATGCTTTCTGTTAGTCTCACTCTCTGTGGACATTAAAGTACATGGTACGTGTGGCTGGAAATTGGTTTGTTTCTGCGCATATGTGTTAAAGGTCCAGTGTGTAACATTTAGGAGGACCTATTGGCAGAAATGGAATATAATATTCATAGGTGTGTATAATCACTTGGGGAAAAAAAAAAAAGTGTTTTTGTTACCTTAGAGCTGTATTTCAAGTTGTTTCTATATCTACTCGCGCTGCAGGTCACCCTCTGTGGTTGCCGCCATGTTGAACAGCCATGTTTCTACAGTACCCTAGAACGGACGAACCAAAAACTGGGTGGATGCCACTAAACACTTTATGCTGGTCCTTTAATGGACTAATGTCATCTTTCAAGTCAAGTACACCGTTTCCAGTGTGTTTCCAGTCAAGTCAAGTGTTCAGGCCCGATTCTGTCTTTTAGTCAGACAGACAAAGGTCTGCCAACACATACGGTTCAACATCAAACATTTATATTTACTATAATTATTTAAATTCAGAAAAGTTCTTAAATTCAGTTCATGCTGATTTCAAACAGAAGGGCTACAGTGGAGATACCTGGATCCGGTTATATACATCCCTATGCCCAAAAGATGCAAATCCCCTTTATTTGCTTACATGTTTATTTGTTGTTGAAGGAGGTCTAGATTTCCTGCTTTTGCAGAACACATTAAGCATGTATACATGGCCTGCGCAATTTCACGTTGTAAAAAGCTCTTAAAGAGTTTAGTGTATCTGAACAAAGGTCTGCTAGGTGCTGCTAGTTGAGTTTTTTTGCGAGTTCACAGGCTCAGGCAGATAATAGGTTGCCTCCTGGGTAATCCCCTGGACCATATGTCAGCGGGTTGTCAAGCCCAGATCCAGTGCAGAAACAGGACAGAGCTATGCAGGACAGGAAAACTCACTGTGCATCCACATGTAAGCAGTCATTGGCTTTTTAATTTTTAGTTACTATTGGATTCTATCACTAGATGATACTGTTTGTGTCTGTGTCACAGTAATGTTTACAGAAGAGCACTGGTTAGTCACTGTGACTAGAAACTGAAAATTCAATGTTTCGGGGGGGCAGAGAGGAGGCTGTAGACCATCATGGTGCCAGTGTGACACAGAGGTGTAGTCAGAGTGCTGCCGAGCAGTTGAAGGTACAAGCCAGCTGCTGCTACATCACCATGAAGCTAACTGAAACCTCCTCTCATTCCAGGAGACAGCAGCGGCCTCAGGGTGGAGGAGGAGGTGGAGGAGGAGGTGGAGGAGGAGGAGGAGGAGGAGGGGGAGGAAAGAACCAACCTCAGCTGATACAACAACAGTCACCGCAGCACCAGAGGGACCAAACCCAACAGCAGTCTCCAAACCAACAGCAGCAGAATTTAACAGAACTGGGAGATAACAGAAACAGTAGTGCTGGTAGGCCGCCACGTCAGTATCAAGGAGGACATGGGCAGCGCCAAGGAGGACCACCACACCACGGATACAGCCAGAACCGGCGTTGGCACCACAATCAGAAAGGTCAGGGGCATGGACAGACAAACGCTACAGGTGATAAAGGAGGACCCCCAAGAACAACCAAAGACAGAGAGACTGAGAATGTAAAACCGGGTGACGAACAGATCAGACCACCCCAAGACTTCAGCAGTAAGAGTCTCAATGAATCACCCCAATCTGAGTCAAAACCAACTACAAATGCTTTCCCAGATCTGACATTTAATAAGGAATTGCCCAACCCACCAGGAAGTGGAAAGGCAAACGAGGGCCAGTCGGAGCAGCCCAAAATCAGCTTGCTGCAGTCGTCAAAGGAGAGGCTGAGGAGGAGACTAAAGGACAAGGTACTGAAAAGCTGCTTAGTGCCTGTCAGTCCATATTAAGGCAGTCAGGACTAATGTGTATGTGTACACACACACACACACACTACCCCTTAGTCTTATAAATACTTTCTTTATGTTCACACACACACATACCGGCATTGATATACAGAAATGTAGACACACACCTTTCTTACACTGCCTTTCTTTCTTCTTCTCTTTTAGTTCATCATTAATTTACTTATTTAGCATTCAGATTGACACACACAGACTGGCGGGGAGAGGGTACATGTTCTCACTAAGAACGTGAAGAAACTAAATCACTATTAGCCTAACAATTGTTGATGTTTTCCACTGTGCGCACTAAACTGGCTAGTCAGCCGACTGTGTTGCTGCTCTCAGCTTCCTCTTTCTGCAGCTAACTTATTACCACCAGGGGTGGTTTGATTTGACAGCATGGGACTCCCCAGCAGGTCGCAAGGCAGGAATTAATAAACATATCCACAGTGACACCAGTGAATCAACAAATCTAGTCTGAGAAACAGCTTTTGCTTGATTGGGCTCTACTGATGTCAGGAAAATTCTATATATATTTTATTTTGCAGCTTATTTAAGCAGCGCTTTCTCTATCCCATTGTACAATTCATATACCACACAGATCTAGCATATTGGTTACATTACTCAAGCCACTGATTGGGTTTCTTGTCATGTGCCATTGACAGGAAAGCAGAGAGCAGTCTGATTATAATCTTAATCTGTCTGTCCATTGTATGTATCAATGCTTTTTGAACTAGAGCAACAACTCCTTAAGGAATAAAAAGTCACCCTATAACTATGATAAACATACTTTCTAAACTGACTTGCTTCATGGTAATAAATGTGAAAAAATTAGCTTACATCTTTCATGTTTCCTTCCTTTCCTTGAGAAAACCTCCTTGGTTGTGGACAAACCTATGTTGAAATTGAATACTGTACCATCACCTGTCACCTACCACTCATGCCTTATCACGTCCTGCATCAGGAAGAGGCACGCGTGGAGGCGTCGGGCTCCGGATCACAGAGCATGGACCGGCTGGTGGACCTTCTCAACAGCATGAGGAGCAACAGCAGCGGGGTGGAGCAGCAGCTGGCCTCTTTCATGGAGGAGGCTCAGTGTTCGGCGCGGTCCGAGGAGACGCTGGCTCAGGTGGTCAGTACGATCTACTCCAAGGCCGTGTCAGACAGGAGCTTCGCCGCCACAGCTGCCAAGCTCTGTGACAAGATGGCGCTGTTCATGGTGGAGGGGACCAAGTTCAGATCGCTGCTCCTCAACATGCTGCAGGTGAGAGCGCTGGGGAGGGAATCGATTAGTTGCAGGTGCAGCAGAGGAGAGATGGCTGTGCCGCTTCAAGCTTTCCTCGTCTCTTCTTCAATATTCTCTTCTTTTAGTATTCAGATAAGTCAGACTTCAGTATAACAGTCTCATTAATTTTATGTATCTGCTTTCCATAGTTTTTAAATCACACTTCCCTGTTGACTAGATGTGATAAATGGATACCAAGGGTGCCAAGCTGGTGTAATTTTCTCTTACAAAGATCACGTTTAGATGCCGTGAATATTAGAGCCCAACCTCACGTATTTGTGTCGTGGTATTTGTTGGCCAGGAGTACAGAAATGCCCAAAATATGCTTAATATGTCCTATACTGTAAAATGTCTCACTCTTGGTGACAATAATTAATGGGATTATTAATCAAAAATATTTATTTTTATCAAAAATATTTGTTTAAAAAAGGAACATTGACGTCGGCATCAGCTTTAAAGATCCACTGTTGGTTGGGGTCGATTACACTGTCTCAGGTTATGAAAAAGAAACAGGAAAGCCCCTGAAATCCTGAAAAAAATATTATTTATCTTAAGAAAAAAAGAAAAGAAAAATAAGATGTTTGGATACATCGACTTTTAAATGTAGCTGGTAATACTTAAGTGCTTTTACTCAAAGACTTTCCTTTACTTAAGTGAAGGATCTGAGTATTTTTTCCACCACTGTGTTGTTGCTGTAGGAGTCTAGCTACGGATTGAGCAATAAGCTGCTGTCTTTATAACGAGCTACACCAAAGGTTAAAAAATGAACACAGTGATATGACTGTTTGTACTGCTGTCTGTGCAGCACCACTGTTTTGAATCTCAGTGGATCTTATTAGTGTCAGTTTTGAATTCGAACAAAAAGTATTATCTCCTGTAAATGCTTTCATGCACTTTGATATTTTAATATACTATGTCATATTGTGATGGTTGCTTTCCAGTTCCATTTCTCGCAATTCAGTATGTTGGCTCCCTTACAGCTTGAAGTGGGATTTCTCACGGGACACACACTAGTCCACAAATAAGCTATCAGCAACAATTGATTTACAATTAAGTCACAATTAGTCCTGAAACGCTTAGTTGATCGACAGAAAATTATTCGCCAATTAATACTGAATCGTTGGTCATTTATTGTGCAAGAAGGTCAAACGTGCTCTTGTTACAGCTAAATTAAGTTAAATATCTTTGGCTTAGTCGGAGAAAATAGTCAATTTAAAGACATCGACCTCGGGCTCTGGGAGATTATAAGTGACATTTTTCACTTTTTTTATGACATTTATAGACTAATTAGTCAATTAATGAACCAAATCAATTATCGTCTGATGAAGAAATAATGAACCTGAGAATGTTTGTATACTACCTTTCATTCTTTCACTTAAGTCCTAATGCTTTACTTTTTTTATCCCTCCCTGTGGAGCTTCCACCCAAATCGTATCCCAAGAAATACATTACTGTGAACAATATGCTCTCTGAATACCCTTTAAAAGCCCATTTTAAGCTAGCAGCGCTTGTTTGTGTGTTTGTTTACTGGCAAACCAGTATATTTTTTTTACTGTATGTTTTAACAAAATCCTCTCTGAAATTTCAGTAGTTTCATCCAACCTTAGGTTTATGAGAAAGCACTTTTAGGTGAAAGCCAACTATGTGTGTGATGTTGTACAGTAAATGTCAGTGAGCAAAGTAGCTAATCTAAATACCCAGGGGAGGGGGAGGGAGAGACCTGCCCCCCCCCCCTTCACTTAACTGCACAGTTCCAGGCTTGCACCCACGATGAAAACATCCTCTCAGCCGTTGTATATTTCACTGCCTCTCTCCCCCTCCTTGTCCTTCATGAGCTCTCTATTACCATGCTCCCCCCATCTTATCGCCTCCCCTCACCCAGAACGACACGGGCCAGTGCCTCGCTACTTCTCCCTGCGCATTTCCCCTCTCTAATTCTAACCCACGCTCCTCCCTTTCACCCCTTGCTTCATCCTGATAGTCAGACAACCTCGCAAGAGGGGCAGACAGTCTAGCGGAAGGCAAACAAGACATACACGCTGTCTTGAGATGGCATTCAAGGTCTAAATGTTAACCCACCTGCTGCCTGGCCATGTCTTCTCCCTTTCCCTCCCTTCACTCCTACTCTTGTTTAATTCTCCTGCAAATGCTCTTTTCGGCTTCACTCCTACACTTTTCCTTTTTTCCTCCCTTCTGTTTTTGTGTTTTTCCATAGAAACACCTCTTTCTTTAGATGTTGATATTTTTTATAGTCCCAGCAGAAGCGAATCCTGCCTTAATCCCTTGAACCCCTTTCTCTGCTTTTTATTCATTTCCCCCCCTTTTTCACAGCTGTGTGGTCCCTCCTCCTCTTTTATTTCTCACTTTAATTCCCACTTCCCAGCCAGCATGGACCCCCTCCTTGTCTTTGACATTTTGGCTTTCTTGCTTTAAAACATTTTAAATGTCATAAGTGGGCTCATGAAGGCTGTCATTACTGATGTTGCTTCCAGACCCCTGGATCTCAATGTGGGGGCAATTAGTCTGTGACCGCTCTGCTTATTAACAGAGCAGCATCAGGGTTTGTTGTTGCTTTGATTTAAACGTAGCCAGACCGTTACCTATGAAAGATGCTGTTTATTTAGCATGTGGCCCCGCTAATGCTGTTGGCACCTTCCTCATCTTCTTTTCTCATATAAGCTTGACTTCTCTTTTAGCTAATGCTTCAGTTTTTGTCTACTTTGCTATATGTGTCTATGTTGCTATTTTGCTGGCTTGTTGTTTAAGTGTCAAATACTGCGGCGGTGTCCTTGGAGGTGTGTGAGAGGTGCGTGTACTTGTTTTTGAGTGTGCGTGGTATGTTTGTTTTCGACAGTGCGAGTGAGTTTTTTTTTTTTTTTTTTGTCGGATCCATTCAAGGCTGCATATATCTGCGGCCTTCAGTGTACGAGTCTGTGAGAATATAAGCCGCTTGGGTTTCCAGTGCACTTCAGTCCACATTAACAGGCAGGAAAAAAAATGAGAGGTATAGTGAGTCGCTGTGACTGTTAATAAAGTTTCAGTTTAACCTGGCGTATTACATCTTTACAAGTGCGCATTAAGCATTAACCCATATTAACCCCAACACTTTTACAGCACTGACACAGCTCACTACCCTTCACTTTCAAACCAAATTAACATATTCTCCCCTACTTCGGGCAGATAAAAGAAATTCATGAATTTGTTTAATGTGTTTTTCAACTGCTTTTTGGCTTTAAGTACTTTAAGCTGCAAGGTTAATACATGTGCCACCTACAAAAACTCCCATCAGAGAGATAGCAGAGATGTTAATAGTGATTACCACCACTGCTGATGAATTTATGAAACACTTAAATATCCTCTTACCTACCGCCTACTTGCTTACTTACTTAACACATTTACAAAAACTGGATAGACTGTAGTGTTTCAGTGGATTTTCCAAACTAAATCTGTATTCTTTTTTTCCTTTCTCCCCAATCCTCCACACAGAGGGACTTCTCCCGTCGAGAGGAGCTCCAGCAGTCAGATGTGGAGAGGTGGTTAGGTTTCATCACCTTCTTGTGTGAGGTGTTTGGTACCATGAGGAGCAGCTCCGGGGAGCCATTCAGAGTGCTGGTGTGTCCCATCTACACCTGCCTACGAGAGGTCTGTATCCAGATCTACACCTTTTTGTTTTTTTTAAATCAATAAGAATGTCAATAACCAGTCGATCAACTACATCCTTGTGCTACTGTGAGAGGAAATTGTCCAGCTGCGTCTGTATATCTTGTCCGTTCAGATCAATACGTGCAAGCCAGCGTTTCCTGTTTTTGGCCAGACCTAGTCTAGACTCTAGACACCACAGCGGGGTTTGGTTAGTGGTGCAACCAGTAAGGACACCATCAGTTCCAGGAAAAATGCATGACCCCAGGTTAAGTTCTCATCAGTTGGTCATGCTCTCTTACAAACACACTCCCATGATCACCATGGAAACCATATAGGGCAGCCACAGCAGACACACAACGATACAGAAGTGGTTTTAACGACAGATGGGACATTGAAAGGGGAAGCGAGTGAGATGAGGGTGAGGAGAAGAGGTGAGAGGAACCAGAGGAGACTGTGGTTAAGTTGACAGTTGCTGCAGAGGAAGTTTACTCATGGCATGACAGGTAGAAGAGAAAAGAGAAGGGAGAGGGAGATGACAGAATCTGGGAGTGAAAATTGTTTTTAATGTGTAGTTTGAGATGTAGAGAAGAAATAATTGCAGGGTTGAGGCACGTGCCTGGTAGTTTGACCGCCCACGTCCACACCTCTGCCGGTCTGGCTCTCAACACACACCCTACGTCTCGCTAACACAACAATCAACACACAACTAATGCCATCCACACCCTGTCTGAGCGTGTGCCCAGGGCACAATCTCAGCTTGTTAGAAGGCTCGGCAACATGACCGAGGGTGTGGACGCACAGTGTAACCAGTCAGAAATACACGAAACACACCTCCATATCACAGCATCAGCAGTGTCTCGTTTTACCATTATGATGCTTGAGGTCAGAACACACCTTGGAACAATGTCAAAATATTTGTATAATTATATGTGTGTGTTTGTGGTTGCTAGTCCATATGCTTGTTCGACGATCTCTATTTCCCAGAGCCATTTTACAGATTTTTATCCATCGGCTGTTTTGTCTATCCTGTTGCAACACGTAGTTGTCAGATTCCAACTACAAGCTTTGTGCGATAACGTGAACTCGCCTCTGTGTGTGTGTTTGTTTGCATATACAAGTGTGTGTGTATGGCTGTCGCCTGCAGAACAGGATTAGGTAACAACTGAGGTGTGTTAGGAAGTGTGTTTGGATATACATGACAGCTGTACATATAGACAGAGTGACTTAATGAGCGATGACCTCATCCATTCATGACTCACACAACTAAATAGTGTTTTTTTAAATGCCACAATCCACAGAGAAGCACCAGGTTAGATAATCCTTGACTAAGTGGGCGCTGAAATAAATTATAACACACTACACTCACTTGCCAGAAATGTGAAACCTACATTTATTGAATTTTTGTTTTGTTTGTTTTTTTTTGGCAACTTGGGGGCAGCACAACAAGCTATAAACTGACATATTATCACCTTTGAAGTTGTTATGGCAAATGTGTTAGCAAATGGTTGCTTATTTACACATCCAGCAGTTACTGAGCAACATTTTTATTCATTTGGGAGTTGAATATGTGTCCATCTGATAAATGTTAGTCCAATATTCACTCTACTTTTAGCTCCATTCTGCTCAGCACTACCTTTAGCTACTAAGTGCTCCACTATGTTTGCCAGATAGTTGCTAACTTTGTCAGCTGTTTATTGCTGGGCAGGTAGTGTACAGTGGGTTTTCTTTCATTAAAAACAGCTGCCTGCTGCATCTGGAAACATTGCTATTAGAGCGGGGAGACTGAATCAAAACAGTAAAGTTGGGGCTGGAAAGGTAAACAATGAGCTTGAAACTCAATGTACCATTGTCACAATACATTATTATAAAAATAGTGATCATAGCCACTTTTAATAATCCATATAGATTAAGTAGATTAGATACATACCACGTGTGCATTGAGGAACACTTCAAAATAAAATTAAACTTCTAAAACTCTACTGAATGTTTTAGGCTCACCATATGAAATTAGTGAAGCAAACGTTTCTTTCCTTTGTTTGTTTATTGGGCTTGCTTCTGTTTCAGCATGTTACTGTGGTTACTGTAGGCTGTTAAGAGACTTTGTGGTGAGTGTGTAATTTTAGAACAGTGATCGAGCCAAACAACATGTGCATTAAACTTTTTAAATACACCTAGTCTAGCAAATCAAAAATGTATATTTACCCAGACTGTAGCATAAAAGTATGTAAGGCACAGCGTATACTAAGCTGCACAGGCAAGATGAAAATACTGGATTCTTATTATTATACCATGCCTTTAAAAAGACATGGGGAACAAACAAACATTTGGTTTTTATTTTAATTATTTAAAAGCAAATGACTTGCATGTGGATATTGGTTTGCAGATGTACACTACAGATATCATGCACATACACTGTGTCAATCAGACAATCAGAATATACAGTATAATTATGATAATGATTAGATACATGTACCTTGAATGTTCTAAGTGTGTTATATTATGTTTATAGGTCTTTTTTGTTAGCAGTAAGTAAAATACAGCACAGATGCAAAAGAAATAGAGTAATATTATGTAATGTAACTAAGGGAAGTGCTGGTCCTGACGCTAGACATGTTGTTGCTATGCAACTATTGGAAACCCTGTTAAAGTTGTAGTAGTCAGAATTCTAACTTTGAGCACACCCAGCAGTATGTTGTCAGGTTTCAACTTATTCAAATATAAATGTGTTTGAGTAATGAAGTCAAACTGAACGACAGATAAAGCTTTAGCAGAAATGTAAATGAATAAGGATGTTTTCACTGTTTTATGTTTTTTCTGACATTGAGTCACTCAAGGTGTTGTTGTCATGTTGGATTCATTTCTTCCTTGCAGTGTTGCAAGAGGATCACAGCTGTCCTAGTTTCTGTTGCTTTTGATGTTCCCCATCAAATGACTTTTGAAAGAAAATACAGTAAATGTATATCAAAAGGTTTCCCAGTGCAGCGAGCTTTGTTTCCTGATGACTAACCAGAGAGCTGTCTGTTTTCAGCTTCAGCAGTGAGACTCTGTGTTTGTGTGTTAGTTTCACACAAAGTTTTTAGGAGGAGCAACTGAGGAGAGCTTTCGCATTGGCGGAAAAACAGATTGGGGGGGGGAACTGTATCAGTGGATAGGAGAGCTGATTATAGATGAGTATAGATTAGACCATTTTAAACATAGTGAGCAAAAACTTCACCCTGGGCTCCCCAGAGAACTCATTATGAGCTAATCCTGCTCGTCACACAGCTCCCTTACTCTGGGAACTACGACACTTGAGTTCCCACATCAAACAGCCACACTGTCACCACACCCGTCTAAGCATACTGAGGAGCTGACGTCTGCGCAACTGCTGGGCCTGAATGATAGGTGGAATACAATTAAGCTCACAGTGTGGAAATAACAGGCCAGTTGGTACTGCGTGTGCATAGTGATACTTTGATACTTTTTCAGTTAAGATTCAGGTTTTTAAGCATATTTTAGTTTTGTAAGTGTATGGAGGTATACAACAATGTATGTATGAGTCTGCCGCTGTCAGCCTCTACAACACCTGATCAATGTTGTAGTTTCAAAAGTAGTTTTTTTTTTTTTATATCTGTATTTATTTATTTCACGTAATTGCTGCTGTGACAAGGGAATTTCCCCTTTGTGGGATTAATGAAGTAATACAAACAAACAAACCAAACAAGTGTTAAAATGAAGCACAGGCAGACTTTGCTCAGTTATTTGGCTCGTATGGATGCAGTTGGTGGGCTCCATCAGTTGGCTAGGCCACCACAATATCCCTCACAACACTCTATATCACTGAAAAACGGCGACTATTCAGTTTACTCCAGAATTTTTTGTCTACTTGTGTGCAGCAGAAACAATTTACAAACCCAAAACTGACATATCACCAACTTTTAAGTTGATATGGCAAACTCACTTGCTTATTTACACATTCAGAAGTTATGGAGAAGCATTATCATTCATTTGGGGTCGTGTTTTTGGCCACTTTTTGCTAACAAATCCAATATTCACTCTCTTGTAACTTTGGTTTCTGCCAACTCCTGAAGGAAATATCTGGTAGTGTACAGTGGGTTTTAAAAGCTTTTCCTGTGTTTTCACTCTATAATTGCACTTATTTTTTTCATAACCGTGTGTCTGTACCCTGCATTTATACCTTATTTTGCTCATTGTGCAGAAGGTTTGTGCTTCCCAAGGTTTAATTAGACCTCACGCTGGAAAAAAAAAAAAAAAAAACCCTCCCTGTTACTTCCTTTCCCTCCTCTGGTTAATGAAAGTAGCACTTTGGAAACAGCCTCAGAGCTGGAAAAGGAGTATTTAACCAAATTCCTTTCTGCTGTAATCTGACGCTAGATGCTCATAGTCTAGCATGGGAGGCTTACTGGTCCTCCCTCTGTCGCCTTCCCTGCCTCCATTGTTTGGAAGTACCAGTTGTATGCCCATCTGTGCATGGGGCCACTGTTGGGAGGGAAAGCCAGCTTGCATGTTTACCAGCTCCACAGTTTGTTTTTGGCTACACTGTGTGTGTGTGTGTGTGTCTGTGTGTGTGTTTGTGTCTGTGTGTCTGTGTGTGTATACAGGGTGCATAAAGCAAGCCTTGATAGTTAGCTAGCTTGCCAGGATGAAAGCCTAGTGTGTTGACTTCAGAGATTTAAAATGTTAATTTAGAAAATATTTACAATCAGGATTACGTTTCTTTTTCTTTTCTTACTTCTCTTGTGAACAGATTAACACAGACAAACACTTGCATTTGCTTAATCTCCCCACCCACTATATCCAAATATACATTTATATATCTGCAAGCCTTGTTAGGTTTTGCTCACTCACTATGCTGGACTTCTTCGTGTTACTCCATTTAGATTTCTCTTGCTTTATTTCATTTTGTGTAGCATTTTGCTTACAGAGAGTCTGTTCTTGTCCCTTCCCCTTCTTTTTAGCTATTAGAGTCCACAGATGTCAAAGAAGATGCAGTCCTCTGCTGTTCCATGGAGGTATGGACCACACACACACACACACACACACAGTTAATGTTTGTGTTTTTGAAATGTGTGCAAGAGCCATGCACCAACATTAAATACAAGTAAAACATCTGAACAAATGTATGCAACAAACAAATTGATTCCTATTGAAAACCCATGAAGCCCAACTCAATGCAGAAAGAGCAAAGACAGGTGAGCTCTGGTTGACACAGTTTCCGGATGCTCACAAATACAACCACATCCTTTGTAGTCTTGATTACTTACCAGCAGGCACACATACACACAGCTCTGTGGCCAGAGGGTGTGTGAACCTCTGCTGTCTGACTCTATCCACAGTAACAAGGTGCCAGACGTTGTGTTTTGCAGTCAGTAAGGGACACACACACACTTTCTCTGACCTCTTGCCTCCTTACACCCCTCCCTCCCTCCCTCTGTCCCTTTTCTCTTCTCCAGTTGCAGAGCATGGGGCGTCTCCTGGAAGAGCAGCTCCCAGAGATGATGACAGAGCTTCTCGCAGCCGTCAGGGACAAGATGCTTTGTCCGGCCGAATCTCAGCTGACCCGCTCTCTCCTCATGGAGGTCATCGAGCTTCATGCACACCGCTGGAGCCCCCTGGAGGCTCTCACCACCCAATACTACAACCGTACCATCCAAAAGCTCACCACCACTGCCTAGGTGCCAGCTCCTCCAGGAGGAGAGGAGACAAGCCCCCCCCCAAAAACCCCCCTTTGACACCCAGATGAAACATTTTCCAGTTGAGCATCAATCTGCTCCTCTAGGTTTACCAAATCGCAGGAATTTAAGAATCACATCACTCTCTTATTAAATAAATACATGCTTTATGCGGTTATTTAACTGTACCTTTCAATAATCTTTGCCACGATAGGTGACCACTGCCACAAACAAAGCATACACTATCCACCACACAGGTAGCCCTGTAACACTACATGTGGCATTGGAACAATGAAAAGCGTATTTGAAACACATTTGAGAAAGCAGTAACGTGTGTGTATATATATATATATACACATATACATACATACATACATATATATGGCCTGTAGGGGCGTGCTTGGCCACACAGAGTGCTGGAGCTCGCCTGGCTGTGGCTGCTGGGGGATAAAGGAGGGAACAGACAAGAGAGGGGTCACACAGGGGAGAGGAGGAGAGGGCAGCAGCCTGTCCGTAGGGAATAGAGAGATCTGTACCCAGAGATGAAGGGGGGGGTCAGGGTAGTCCGTGTCAGTCTCTTCATTGTGTTCATTTGCCCACCACCCTCCCCTTCTCTCTTGTCTCTTTCTCCTCCCCTCTTCTGTCTCTCCGTCAGCCCCTGGGGTCTGTGTGGCTGATAAAAGAGAGAGGAGGAGGCGGCGGCAGGGAGTAGACACGATGCTGTCTGTCTGGGCCGTCTGCCCCGCCGGGCCAGGGAACAGGTCAAAGGGCCTCGCTGTGGAGCTCCCCAGCTCCCACAGCTCCTCCCTGCCTTTGTCTCCCTAACTCCCCCACCACATCCCCCCAGCAGGAAGCCTTTTTTGTTGGGATGAGACAGCGGGCCTGCTGGGCCAGGCTGGACTGAGGATAAGGATCAGGCTGGCTAGAGTAGGGTGGCAGATGGCTGCTTGAGCCCATGTGAGACGACACACTCCTAACGCACCCCTGCTCCCCGAGCTCGGGCCAGTGTCGCCAACTGAAGCAGTAGAAATATTGCAGAGGTTGGGGGGGGGGGGAGCATTAGAAAAGCATTAAAACTGCTGTCTGATAATTCTTTTGTTTTTGTCCTACAGGGGAATGTCTCTTCTCCTCTGTTAAGCCGTGCATGTCCATGCTTTGTTAACCACATTGTTGATATTATATTATTTTTTTAATCATTTAATGTTTTTATTGTCTTGTTTTTATGATAAAATGTATGTATAAAGGTTTTAGTGGTAGGCCTTATTGCACAGGTTTGATTTGTTTGCACTGTTTTGAGGCGATTTGCTTTAAGATTAAAAAAAAAAAAAGCAAAGTTTGAATTTGAATCAGTGCTTGTGGATTAATATTAAAAATCCCAGTAGTGAGAGAAACAGGTTGAGCATAGTGAGGGATTTAGGATGTTTTAATGGACTGGTGGCCTTGTCAATTATCCATTTTTATAGGAGCTCTCTTGTTTCGGGGCCTGCGGGGCCTGTGGGGCCTGTGGCAGCAGAGGGCAAGCCGAGGACTGAACAGTTGGACTTATTCACATCATTCTGTTGCTGAAGAAAAAAAACGCATCTGAAGAGATAAAAAAGGATGTGACAAAAAAAAACTGCATGGCACAGAGAAACAGAAGTGAAACGCTTCTTTGAAATTTTCTCCTACTCAAGCCATTCTTTGCAGTGGACATTTTGCAAGTGTTTAATATCGACTGTATTTGATCTTGCTTTGTTTTTGAGAAAAAATGACAACTATTAACCTGTGTATTTGAAGATGACAATGATGAAAAGAAGAAATCTTATTGTATGACCTCATTAGCTAGTCATATGTGACCCTTATTCCAGCTAACATGTGAATTATGATATTGACGTACCAAGCCAATCATGTACCATTTGTAAATGGGCTCTATATATAATCTGCATACAGTATATTTACAAGTATTTAAAAACATTGAATTAGGGGGGGGGGGATAGTGCAACAGAGATGTTACACAAGAAAATTGGTTGTGTGGCTAGAAGTTGGCCTTCCCATGCATTTTTTTTATTATCAGGAACTGGCTCATTGTTTGGGAGTAGTCACACACACGTGTGCATATGCACATGCATACATATACTTAGTTTCCCATTGAATCTCTGTGGGCAGTTTTAAGTGTTTTTATATTATTTTCTCTGTCTTGCATCAAGAATTAAAGAACCTGTGTGGTAGAAACACACCTCAGAACGTTAGTTAGATGAGAAGGGTGATTTAAAGCTCACACATGTTTTTTGGAGGTGCAGCCTAACCGTCTGTAAGTGTGTGTGTCTGCTTAAGAAGTGATTTGTTTTATTGTTGTTGGGTTTTTTTTTTTGGGTTTTTTTTGTTTTTTTTGTCTTTATTTTATTTCTAGGTTTCTATTTAAATTATATTTAGCTCATTTATATATATTTTCCTGTCTGGTGGGTTTTCAAGACATCTGAAACAGTTGTGATACCTAGCTTGCTGGCAAGTGTGTAAGTGTGGTATTACTGTGTTTTAGTTTATGAAAAGAAAAGAAAATTAAAATTACCCATCGGTGAGTTTCATTATGCAAAGAGCGACTCGCTCTCACAGCAGATGGGGGCAGGTGGGGATCAACCCCCCCCCCTCCCCTATTCTGTGGCACTGGAGCCCACCCTCACCCCCCCCAGACCGCGTGCCCTTAGACCCCTCTACTCGGGTCACATGACTCACTCGACGATTGAATGAGATGCACCTTTATTTGCATATTCTCATACATTTTGAAAAACGATGCTCCGGTCGGCGCATAGACAAGCTGTAGATTGGCAATAGTGGGTCATCTGTGAGCTCGTTTGTTTTGTTTTTCTAAGCAACTGAAAAATAAACTAACAGGCAAAAAAAAAAAAAAGATGTGACGGAACAAACTGGTGTGTTTTTCTGTCTGCTCACTTAACAGCACAGTCACATGGAAGTCAGTGTGGTATCATTAGGATATTCAGATATCAGAAAAGGAAACACAATGGTGCACAAACTGTTTCCTCTGCCATTACCAGATAGACTGCATAGCTAATCTCAGCACCACAGTAGGTCATTATACTAACAATTCATATATGTGCGCAGTGGAACTCCTCATCTACATGTCTTCTCCTTTACATCATCACACATTAGAAACAGACCACACTTCAGAATTTTAACAACTGCGTGTGTCTTGCAGCGTGTCCTTGGCCAGCGATTTGCCTTTGGTTAGCCCTGACACATGCCTGGGGCTCCCCCAACTGTGGGCGTCCCGACGGGAGCTCTCAGTGCCTCCCCACTGAGGACCCCTTCCCTAGAATCTATAGGACGTCCTTCAGCACTCGTCCACATCAGTCAACATAATCCCATGTGTCAGAATATTTAAATGTGTTTGACAGTGTGAAACACACTTTAAAATTTGCCATCGCCACCATGAGAAGATTTGTTTTCTTATTCTCTGTTTTGTCTATGACAGATGGATTTATGATGATGGTTTCATTTCATTTAGATTAAACATTAAGCGCCTCTTTTTTAAAAAAACAATACAAAAATGGACAATAGGAAAGATATTGTACAGTAATAGACCAACTCAAGCAGCAAAAGCAGTGTAAAGGAAGAAATCCATTCAGCTGCTCTAGTGGAAGAAGAGAGGGATAAAAGAAGTAAGTCGGAAGAAAGGGTGACAGACAAGTGAAATAAATGTAGGAGGAGATGAAGTGAGGAAACATATAGATATATATAGAAATGATGGAATCTTTGGACAGTATGGGGGATTGAGGAATAAATGCAAATGCTGGAAGAAAGACAGAGCCGGCCTTGGCTGGCAATTAGCATCACGGTTAATTTGGCTCTGTGCAGTGAAAACAGACAGTTGAACAGGCATGTTAGCCCTGAGGGATGATGTCTCGCTGGCTGAGTATGCTGCTGGAGCCGAAACTGGTAAGATACAGTATCTGTGTCTCCAATTTAGAATCAGATCACATTACAACAAGATGGTGTTATTTGTCTGCGAGCAAAGTGACACAATGAGGGAAAATTCAGAGAGTAGGAGTAGAGACTTAGACAGAAGGAGGCTATTATGGGCTGTTTTTATTCCAAATCGTCAAGAAAGTTAATGATGTGGACCTGAGCTGAAACGATAAGTCAATGAATCAAAAGAAAATTATTCTCAATGTTTTCAGAAAACTGTGGAAAAAAGCTGTGAAATTGAGAATTTTATGGCGCAACAATCCCCCCAAAAAGTCTGCGAAATCCTGGAGGGACTGCTTAATGTTACTTAACACAAGAACATGGGACTAACATGAGAATAATGTGTAGGATAGGTCTCATGCTCCCTTTCCAACCGCAAGGGAGAAACTATAATGGCTGTGAAAACAGGCTACTGTAGAAACATGGCGGTTCAACATGGCTGCCTCCATGGAAGGAGACCCGCAGCGTCTGTAGATGAAAACTCATTCTAAAGTAACGAAAACACAACAACTCTTATTTTCAGGAGATTATACACTCATCAAAACATACCTATGAATATTATATTCTATTTCTGCCAATAGATCCTCCTAAATGTTACACACTGGACCTTTAAGCTTCAGCTTGCTGTTGGCGCTAAACGTAACAGTATTTCACACTTGGATGCTTTCTTCTTGCCAAAATGCCCCTTCTGACCAGAATTTTTTATGTTTTATTATTAAATCAAAGAACCAGATATTTGTTTGTGAAGGACATTTTTCACAATTCCATAGACTAAACAATGAATGGCTTCATCAAGAAAAAAATTGACGGATTAATCAATAATGTAAATAACACTTAGCCCTATTATGGACTACAGGGGTAAATTTAATTATGCCTGCTTCATGGCGCCGTATCATGACATGAGCTCAGCCTGCTTTCTCTGCTGGCATTGATGGATGAATGGATTTGTGTGCGTGCGTGCGAGAGAGTGTGTGAGACTCACACCAGTATCGTCCATTGTTTGAGCCAGACAAAAGCAGGCTGCATCTCAGCTGGCCTTGATGACGAACTAAAGACGAGGAGGGAGGACACTCAAACACACTCTCCTACAAACTTAAAAAACACAAGCACCAGCAGATCCTGTGTTCAAGTATCTCCCTGTGGATGTGTCTCGTATCGTCAGTTGTCTGATGGCTCACACATTGTGTTTTTTAGACCTTTATGGGGTTCTTTTTTGTGTGTGTGTGCCCTCCCGTCTGCACGGTGTTTGATCAGCGCACAAACAAACTAGAGGAGAGTACTGCACAATCTATTCTGTTTGGTCCGAAGGGGACAGAGGCCAGATATTGTGTAAAACAAAGTGGAGTTAAAACACACAGAAGCATCCCCAGATGTTTTCCTACAGTACGCTTTGCTGTGGGAGAAATCAATAACTGTGGGCTCCGAAGTGGTTTTAGCTCGCTCTCTTGACCTTTCCATCTCAGCAGCAGCTACTGCGCTGTAGTTTATTCCACTGCCCAAAAAACAGGTTCTAGCTCAACTATATTTGGATTCAGACATTTTAGCTGGCTATCATGCACTGCTTCTGGAGTCGGATGTAGACTTTGGACTACATTTCTTTATTTATTAGTACTTTTAGTGCCACCATTTCTTTATGGCTGCTTCCACATTAAATCTGTGTGTGATTTCCATCTTCAGCTTTACAACCTTCCATGTTATCGGTATGGAGTACTTCTCATTTTTCATTTTTTACTAAATTTATAGTGTCAAACTGAGCCTGACATTATCTGTTGTCCTGGATAAAGTAAGTAAATAAAAAGATCAAGATGTGACAACAAAATCTGGAAATGTGCCAAATTTTTTTTAAGGATTTACTATCTGGCACAGGGTTTTTTTGTATTTGGCTTTAGCTTGTGTCTATGTACTAGTGTTGTTGCTGTTTAACTTTATGTGTTGTTCATTGCCCCCACCCTCGAACAATAAAGCTAAAAGTAAAGAAAAAAAACTACTTTTCTCACAATTAGACAGACAGGCTCAACAACACTCCAGAATATAAAGAAACTGAATGACTGGCACAAAAAATATCAAAATGGAGTTTTTCTAGGAAAAGTAAAAGTAAAACTCAACTCAACCAGAACGGAAACTGGAAAGCTGTATTCCTGCTTCCTGGACTGGCAGTGGAGGAAATGATGTCATGACCTGCCCTCTTCCTGAATGAACTGTTTCAGTGGCCTTTCTGGTGGAAGACCTGCTGAGTCAGTAAATCAACCAAATTATTGGTTTCTAGGGTTGTGAATGGATCAGATATTTATTTAACCTAAAAATAATTAAATCGGCAAATAAGGCACCTATCAGTCTGTATCTCTTTTCAACAATATAAGTAAATATAACAAATTCACCAATAGCTTAACGGCAAGAGAAACAAGCATCTACACAGATAAAAAAATGTTCTTGATTCACATGAAATAGTTCGCCTTTTTCAGTCGTGCTTGAAGATTTCTAGAAAATTGTATTTAAACAGAATGAACTCATCTTTCTGCACTGGCCCTTTTTTTTAACTGTTTATAAGATAAGACTACAGCAATGCTAGCCGCTCTGTGAGGCTGGACTATTGTCTATGCTATGTTAACACGCTCACAATGACATACTTACGTGCTTTTGTTGATGGTTTAAAACACGTTCACCGTCTCAGTTTAGCATGTTAGAATACTTACATTTGGTATTTTGCGCTTAACAAAAATTACATCTGAGTTTTGCAGGTGTTTAGTGATAATCCAAAGTATTGAATTAATAAAAAAACTGACCTGATGATAGCACTAAATACAAATTAAGAAGAGGCTCACTACAGTCAGTAACATCTGGGGACCATGAATCGATAGTACGCACATTATTGTACACAGAACAGTGCATTGTGGACAATATTAGTGCAATCACAATCAGAATCCACAATTTTATTATGCGGTATGGACACAGAGAAAAAATGGACATGCATTAGTTTGCTAAAACACAAAGAGGGACAGAATATCTCCAAGATGCATTCTCGTTAATGAGCATACCAACAATAGTGTATCTGGGTGGCACACTAGTCACACATACAACATTATTTTTGCAGCAGAAATGTGAATCGCTCACTCGTGTCTGCCAGTGACAGGTCTTAAAACAGCTTGCTTTTAGGTGAGGAAACATGACGTCTTTGTTGCTCAGGAGCATGTGTGCTTTTGCAGTGGCCTGGCTTAGAAGTGTGCTGCAGAAGGCTAGTCTCACTTTGTTGCTGCCAGCAGTAACACGCACGCTGCCAACGTCAACAGACGGATCTTCATACAGGGAGAGGAGAGGAGAATTAAGGTGAGGGAGAGAGGAAAATAAAGAAAATGAAGAAACTTCAGACACTGAAACTGGACAGAGAAGAAGTTAGCAGAGAGGAATTAGTAGTGTATGCACAGAGAAAACAAACAGAGGAAAATCATTAGATCATTCTCTCTCTCTTCCTTCATCTCTCTTACAAGGTCCATCTCATCTAAATGCTGTAATTTATGAGGAATGACGTGTGTGTGTGTCTGTCATTTCCGAGCCTGACCAGACCAGCCACCCAGAAGTGTGTCTTCCTTTGTGGCTGACAAGCCGGCGTGAGCAAAGCTTCCGCTGTGAGCTGCACTCTGGGACTGATCAGTCAAGCAGAAATCAACATACAAACACACACTCATGCGTGCACACACACACACACACCCCATAATTAGAGATGGGAGAGGGACATGGGTAACATCAGCAGAGCCTCTGCTGCTCACTGGAGCAGAAGTGAACACACACATACTGTACACACACACACACACACACACACACACACACACACACACACACACACACACACACACACACACACACACACACACACACACACACACACACACACACACACACACACACACACACACACACACACACTGCAGCCGTTGGAGGTCGACGGAAGTGTCCGCAGACAAGCAGTGGGAAGTAACACCTGATGTCTTTGTTGCCAGGCTCCCGCTTAGCGAATGTCATTGTGGCATCCTGCTGCGACAAGCACGACCCTGTTGCTAGGCAACTTGAACTTCTGTGACAGATAGTGGGAAAGTTCTGCGGCAAGAGCGAAAGTGAAAGACAGAAAAGGAGAGAAGTACATAGGACTGGATTCCGACTTATGAAAAAGAGAAAAAAAAGGAATAAAAGCAGTAAGAAGTACACGAAGGTCTGTGGACAGCTTATCAAAGAAAGCAGTGAAGCACAAAAACAGCCAGGACTGACATTTCGACCTAAGTGTGTCTTCACCAAAAACCTCTGCATCTGTCTGCCAGAAGTCCTTTGATTTGTGAGGTGGCATGCTGTGCAAGGCGTGTTCCCAGTATACTGTGTGTGTAAAAACACACATAAAAGAACTCAGGGCACGGTCAATGGATTACATGGACTCTTGTACAAGACACTGCTTCGTCTGTGGACAGACACTGCCTCAGCCACTGATGGTACTGACTTCACACACACAAAACACATTCCCAACACACAAACATACATGTCATCTACAAAACCTACTTCAAATCCCTGAATGCTGAACCGTACATATATATGTTGTATCAGGCACATGTGCCTCCTATGACCCGAGTTTGTACCATTTTATGGCAACATAATCAGCGGCAATACAACTCACACAGCAGTTTTTATGCATAACAACTCTGTCCACAATTACTGTGCATAAAAAGTCTTAATGTATTTTTAAGCTGCAAATAATGACTTTGTTTAGTGGGAATGAGAATGGGCTTGTGAAGTGTGTAGGAAAAACTACAGTGGCCACGAAACCCGCGGAAAACTTGAAAGTTCCTATCAA